CTGGGGTGAATTCAAATCACCCTGGGGTGAATTCAAATCACCCCTGGGGGAATTCCTGTCACCCTTGGGTGAATTCAAATCACCCATGGGTGAATTCCTGTCACCTATATGTGAGTCTGAGTCACTCATACGTGACAGGAATTCACGTATAGGTGACAGGAATTCACATTTAGGTGAACACAGGTCACCTATGGGTGAGTTACATTCACTCTAATGTAAATCACCACATTATTGAACATTTATTTACATGTGAATGTAATATATTCGTCAATTACCATGTGGGACTAGTGTTTCACATGTATGTGAAACAGTCGCACTAATATATCACTCGTGTGTGAATTAGGTAACACAGTTATATATTACACGACTTGTAATATACATTCACCTAGTGTGATTCATGTGAAAATTTGTGAAAGGTACTGGTGAAAGGGGAGGTGAATTGATTTTCGAGAAGTCACCCACCCCTGCTTTGCACTTTTGCTCATCAAACAGTCACTCACTCAAACACTCGATCATTCCTCACTCAATCTTTTGATCGATCCATTCAAGATGGCTGAAACTGAACCATCTCAAGAAGATCTACCTATGGAATCAAACAACCAAACTGATACAACCACCAACCCTGCTACGACATCTCCCGGTGATATCGATACCGACAAACTTCCTTGCCCAACTGGGGGTGGCTCTTATGCAACTCGCGCCGAGGCCAAGATATACCTGAAGAACTTTGCCTTTAGCCATCACTACGCGATATCAATGCTTGATACCAAACCACGGCGCATCAAGTGGAAGTGCGCTTTAGGGCCTAATCAAAAGCAACAACTTGCTCACGCTGAAAACCCTTCCCTTATCATTCCAACCTGTCGTTTTGCGGTTCATGTCGAGTATCAATCTGATACAACTACGTGGTCTATTACTATCAAGCATGGCAAACATAATCATGGACCGATTGCAAATCTCAACCCACCAAAACTTCCCGATCCTTTGTTGATCAAACCCGCCAAGAAAAGAAAGCAAAGAAGCGATATGATTCATATCGATCTCACCGAGTCTAACCCCCCTGATGAATTCAAGGAACTGATCACTGCGATGGGCAGGCTGGAGCCTGAAACTAGAGAAAGGCTCCTGGATCGGTTTTTGCGGGATTGTGAAATAGCTGAAAGTGTTGCCAAGCCATCCGGAACGAGAGGAAATAGAAAGGTGGGTTATTCAATCAATATCTTTGTAGCAATTGTGAATGAGATGCTAAGTTGCATGTAATTCTTTGTTTATTACAGGAACAAGGTAACCGAGCCAAAATTGCAGTCTCTTCACGAAAACCTGACGATCCGCTTTCACAAATACCGCCTAATTCAAAAGATAAGGTCAGGGGTATGTAGTTATATTTTTGATTTCCATCCGTATTCTAACGTTTCCCTGTTCTGTGGGTAGGAAGCAGAAGGACAAGATCCTAAGGCTTCATCTCCAGAAGCGGAAGCAACACCTATGCAAGGATCCTCCTCGAATATCGATAAGGTACACGCAGCGAATACGAATCAACCGGTCAAAGAAAGTATCCCGACAAGAGATACGATTGAAGAGATCAATCATGAAACCGAGGAACAGCCTCTTTCTCGCGCGGACTCTCCGCTCACTTCACAGAGTGAGACTCAGTCACCAAGAACCACTCGCGCCCATAAAGTCTCTGAAGTCACCCGCACTGAGAAGATCAAGGAATTAAGTCGTAGTACTCGCAAATCCAAACGTGTGACTTCTCAGACTCATGACCAAGTAAGTACTTAGTCTTCTCTAGCAGCTATTGAGAGCTTACTAACTTTTTCTTAATATATATAAACAGCCCAACCCCAAGAGACAAAAACCATCAGAAGACGTAAGTGATTTATTTGATTGAATGTGCATAGGTGGTGGCTTACAAATTTATCAGTATTCGCTGGAAAACATTTGCTCTGCATCCAGAACCCAGCAGAAAAAGAAGCAAAAGGATAAGCAAAAAAAGCTCTTAAATGCCTCGCCTGTAGATCAAGCTTTGATAGTAAGTAATTTGATATCAATTTACTTACTTCTGATACTGACGATGCCAAACAGAAATGGGATTTTCTTGCGACTCTTCCAAAGGTTATCTATCTTTTTGTCAAGGAGGCCACAAATGTAAAGGGGGACGGTCTATGTGCTTTTGGATCCGTGGCAGTGTCACTAGGTTGTGATGAGGGGGATGCGTGGAAAGTGCGAGCGGAGATGGCAGCCCATGTCCACGCAAACTACAATTGGTACAAGAAAAACTTACCGAAACTCAGCCAATCCCAAACCTTGATCACAAAAATGCTCTCAATTCTTGAACACCCTGACAAGGAGCAAGCGCCGTACGAGTTGTGGTATCCGATGCCAGGGGGATGTTGTGTTATAGCCAATACTTATAACTGACCGGTGATATCATACACGGGAGCAGTCACCGCATGCCTTACCACTCCACCATTTTTGGAAGCTCCAGATTGGGATACCCACCTTGACCCCATCATACTTGCAGTTATCAAAAAAACTCATTGTATTTCACTAGAACTCGACTACTTGTCTCCCAACCTCCCAATTCCGTATATACATCCTGACTGGACGAAATTGAGATCATCTAAAGCAAAGGGATGGGAAGGAATCTTTGTGGATAATATTCAGGTTTACAAAAAATGGCGCAAGGAATGTAATTCAGTCACAGGTCCTCAATGTCCCAGACAAGAAATCTCTGATGATGAATGATTAAATATGTTCTATTCTCTTTCATATTGAATATACTAATATACTCTTGTAATTGAGCTAGATTAGATTATGAATTATTGAAGATTTGATAATGGTACATGATTCCTGTGCGTCAAAATACGCACCCATATGGATTTCAAGAAGCTCTTGAAATCTGTTATAAGATTTCATCGATGGAAGAATTGGTTCTTATGACAACAATCACCACAAAGTGCCCCTTATGCATGTGAAATCATTCACGAAAAGGTAGATGGACATGATTCACCCTTATGTGAATGCCATTCACGCGTGGGTAAATGAAATTTACATAAGGGTGTGCAATTCACACTTGGGTGAATTTCTTTAACCCACGCGTGAATGGCATTCACAAACGTGTGTGAATGGAATTCACACATGGGTGAATGCAATTCACACATGGGTGAATGCAATTCACATAAGGGTGAATGGAATTCACATATGGGTGAATGGAATTCACATATGGGTGAATGGAATTCACATATGGGTGAATGGAATTCACATATGGGTGAATGGAATTCACATATGGGTGAATGGAATTCACATATGGGTGAATGGCATCCACATACATGTTTGATGTCCCTTGGATGCGGGCTCAAATATGTTGACCAAAATCTCATGTATGTATGACCAGCTTGATTATTATAGACCAGCTTGATCATGGATATTTGGAAGTTGGAAGTACATTCACATATATGCAGATTCAATTCACATGTGGGTGACACGTCCTTGACTGAGATTCACACGTGTGTGAATTTCATTCACACGAATGTGAATTTCTTTCACACGTATGTGAATTTCTTTCACACGTATGTGAATTTCATTCACACGTATGTGAATTTCTTTCACACGTATGTGAATTTCTTTCACACGTATGTGAATTTCTTTCACCCTGATGTGAATTCCATATGTGTGAATGGCATTCACATACATGTTTGATGTCCCTTGGATGCGGGCTCAAATATGTTGACCAAAATCTCATGTATGTATGACCAGCTTGATTATTATAGACCAGCTTGATCATGGATATTTGGAATTTGAAAGTACATTCACATATATGCATATTGAATTCACATGTGGGTGACAAGTACTTGACTGAGATTCACATGTATGTGAATGTCATTCACACACGTATGTGAATTTCATTCACACATATGTGAATTCCTTTCACCCTGATGTGAATCTCATTCACCCATGTGTGAATGGCAATAACTCAACCGGTATTTGACTGACATTTATGTCAGTTTTTATGATATATGACATTCACATGATTCACATGTGTTTGATATCCCTTGGGTAGGTTGAGTAAATATGCAAACCAAAATCTTATGTATGTGTGTGTAGACCAAGTTGATGGAAAATGGAAATTTGAAAGGTAGATTCCCATATAGGTAAATTTAATTCACATGTGGGTGAATGTACGTGATCATATATGGGTGAATGTCATTGGATGTATGAATCAAGATCAGCTGTGGATGGTGATTCACATGTATGTGATGATGATTCACGTATGGGTGAATTGAAATCCAAAAATATTTGATGATGACCCACATGTGGGTGATTGTGATTCACACATAAATACATCATACATACATATACGTCAATTTAAGTGACATATGATAATATGAGTGATGATCTGCATGTTACATATGTATAAAGTGTTGTCACCCTTACATATGTATAACACATTAGGGTGAATGAAGACATATTTGACTGACAGTTTGCTAACACAGTGCCCGTGGCAAAGGCCCCCGACGTCGGGGGCCCAACGATCTTGCGCAAAAGTGTCAAAAAAACTGTGATTTTTCTGTCCAAGCCAAATTGGTACGCTGAGCCTGCCCAGTTTGCCCCATCCCCAACCGCCAGACTCAGGTGTTGACCTCAGGAGCACTGAGCCATTGTCCAACTTCATCAACACTGATGAGCTGGGATGAGCCGGGATGAGCGGTCCTGCCCTGATTGTATGAACCCATGGGGGATCCGTCAAAACATATGCTCAAGCGGGCAAAGATGCCTGTTCCCGCAATTCCTGTTTGTAGGTTGGGGTTGGAGCTTCGGGATCCAGATCCTGAAGAGAGTTGTATGCTCGGTCTTGGTGCCATTCTTACATCGTCAGCAACTTCTCCCCCGTGACTCCGGTTGGGTCTAGGTAGCTGATAAGTTTCTTTTATCTTTTTATGTCATCAATCACTATTTCTCTCTCTTTTTATCTCTTAGATTAATTTTCAATACATACAGCAAAAACTTCAACCATGGACCGCATTCATGACCTTGATAGTCTCTTTCGGGCTTCATTATCTTCCGATATCAACTCCCGACATGCTGCTGAACAACAACTACAAGCATTAGAAGTTACCGAAGGATTCGTATCATCGATATTCTCATTGGTGGTTTCCTCATCGAAGGACTTACCAGTCCGTCAAGCTGCAGCTGTTTATCTCAAGAATCGTTTTAGGGCATCATACGATCGGATTGGCCAACTCAAACCAACATCTGTCTAGTGTTTCTTAGACAGCACCTACTTGATGGACTATCTTCAGTGCACCCATCCATTCGAATTTTGATATTACCAACTCTCTCGGCGATCATCTCTGTGGACGACCCTCATCTTTGGCCTGACTTGCTTTTGCAGACTGTCCGCTTAATCTCGACCAATGAATTGGCTGCTATTGAAGCCGGTCTCTTGGCGTTGGTGGAAATTATGCGGCTTTACCAATGCGCAGGGCGCGAGAAAGGGGATTTATCGGATCCAGTGGTCGCCTCTACTTTCCCATTCCTTTTGCCACTTGCTCAAAATCTACTCAATCAGTCGACGACTATTGTGTTTAACCTCGACCTTCTTCTGCGGCTGAAGCAAACTCGAACGTTGGCACTCTTATGCATCTCATACTCAAAATCTACAAGACATCTATTACTGCAGAATTACCACCATTCCAACAACAGCATATTGTACCTTGGGGTCAACTCCTACTGACTGTAGTCCCTAAACCACTCAAGGATAGTGTTGGATTTCCTTCTCAACTCGAGGACAGAGAGCGGTGGGGTTGGACGAAAACCTCGATTATCACATACACCTGAAAGAACACCTCCTAGGACTGGCATCCCACGTAGGGCTGAACAATCATCACCTTCAACTTCTAGACAAATTCCTTCTGGACCTATGGCCCGTGCAAGAACATCGATTCGAAAAGTCAATGACTTCGATATTATTGGAGCATCGGATATGGCCAGCAAACCTATGGCTGCTGATCCAAATTGTAATCCTAAGATTAGGAATAGATTAAGTACCCGAATAGGTTCATCTGTTAGAGAGATTCGTAAGTGAATTGTTTTTTTGCAGTTTAGATTATGTTTAGATACTGAATTGATTTGTTGTTTAGTTCAAAAACATAGTAGTCGAGTTTCACAATCTGGTAGTCCTATGATTGGAGATATTGAACTTGAAGAAGGTAAGGTTTTCAAGAATTTATAAGATTCGAAATAATTCAAAAGGAAAAAAAGTTGATTTTTTGCTTGTTAGATGCATCGAATTTAGAGTTTGATATTGAAAGTGAATTTCAAAGGTTATCGGGAGAAATTAGACTTGAAGAAGTAGTAGTTGAAGAAGAAGGAGAGTCAAGTAAGCGATCGCTCAAGTTTAATCAAACTGTGGCTACCACAAGTCTAACTCCGATTCCAAAAGAAATGAGATCTACTGAAAATAATAGTAATCAACCTCATCAAGCAAATGAAGGTAATTCAGAAAGTAGAAGTGGAATTGGAAATCGATTTAGAAATGAAATCACTTCTGATGTCTAATGCGAAACAAGAAAAGAACAAGAAAGACTGAAATAACAAACACTGACAGAACAAATTGAATTTTAAAGAATATACCAAACATCATATCAGATTTGAAGAAATCAAATGATCAACTTCAAAAACACTTCTATATTCGAACCAAACTAATTATCAGATCCATCGGAAGAACTCAAAAGAAATTTATTATTCTTAACTTTATCTTATTGATTAGGCTGGTTATTTAAATAAAGGTGAATCAGGATCAAATTTTACTTCAAATTTTCCGATTACTATTACCAGTCCAGAGAGATGGAATAAGGTATTAGAATTTGAAGAAGAGTTTGGTCAAACAAATTCAAAAACACTTGGGATGGAAGATAATCAGATTCAACCTAATGTTTTATTGATGAATTATAATCTTAGACATCCTATTTATTCAATCGACCAAATCAATTCCAAAAGATTGCCTGAAAGTATCTTACCTAATTTTCAACATTTTCAATATGCTAAAGTGTGGAACGAAATAGCCAATTTAGACAGCTCTCCCGCTGTGCGCGATGCGGTCATGGACTTAAAGCAGCCGGATGTAAAGTATGGGATCCAGAAGGAATTGATTACATTGATTGTTTGGGCGCTTATTTAGCTGTCAATCAAGGACATTGTCATCCTAAAACAATTCAAGCACTGATCAAGCTCAAACTTTAACATGAGCTTCAAGAGCATTTTATAGTTCAAATTTTTATGTGACCGGTTAATACTTGAGTTAAAGCGGTTAAAACTGCGTTAAAATTGGTTAAGAAATGGTCTTATATGCAGGTAAGTTTCTGACTTGGATCGATCTGCTATCCAATCCGACAGTTATATGATTTATCGTTTTGATCATAGTGGCCACTGTCACTGTCTTGAGTTCAGCTAATACGAACTTTGATCATCATCGAACTTATTGATTGATCTGCTCCACTCTGATCAAGCATTGGTTACTTGATCGGATTTTTACATTTATTGTAGTTATTGATTCGCACTCTTGACCAAAGATGAAGTTATACCTTCTATTCTTCGGTTTTCTTGGGACTAAATCTTCTTGCTCTAATCAGAAAGTAGACTTTGAATCTGGTTATAATTTTTATAGACCTTGTATACATTGATTTCTAGATCTTATACCTAGTAAACTCACGCGCTATGTATCACAAAATCGACCACAATGGGGAAGAACGCATGTTCAGAACATGACACCTGAAATGAACTCTTCACCATGCAAATGTCTGATGTCTCCTTGAGAAAAAAAATTGACATTGTCATTCTCCAACGCTTTACATGAACATTTTGTATTTAGCGATTTGATGATAAGAAATTGGTTCATGAATCAAGATCAAATTTGTATTGTAAGCAAAGGAGAAGACGTGAGAATGGAAAGTACCATTACATTCAAATTGATCGTCCATAATACTTGTAGCTTCTTCTTTTCCTTGAGAGCAGTCAACCTTTTATCGATCTCGTCTGCGTAGTTAAAAAAACATCTTTTAATACTATAATAAGTACCATACAAGAAATTGCCTTCCAGTTGGCAAATCATGTTTTGATTTATTAATCTCTTTTATTGTCTGCTTTTTACCTACGAGCTTTCTCTTTCTTCTGCTAATGCCGATTTTAATAACTTTATTTGTGTGCGTTTCTTTTTACTCGAGTTCAAGTTAGGTAGTTTGTACGGTTAACCGTTAGCGTATCTATTGTGTTTTGTCCAGAGTGTCATCTCGAAGTTGTTTTTCTCAGTCTTCGATCTATTGTTTTTTCTTTTGGCCTCTGGCCTCCCCAAGGGGTAGTGAGGAACACTGAGCGTTCAGTAGGGGAAAATGAGCGTTCAGTCGTTAATACTGAGCGTCCAGGGCCGCTCGTCTCCTAGTCTGCCTGAGGCTTGACTCAGACGGATGAAGTTCAGCGTAAGGAATATTCTTCCAATCTTTCCCCTTTGTGGATAATTGTACGCTTTTGGGCCACAAAAATCACACAAATGCGACAAAATTGCCAAGATCGTTGGGCCCCCGACGTCGGGGGCCTTCGCCACGGGCACTTTGTAAGAGTGTAACTAACTTTTTGAGCTATGCAGTGTGTTTATACACGGTTGGATATGTAATAGTTACTAATAGTTAATTCCAATTACGGGATACAAACTAGAAACCCGGATTTGTTCCGGGTTTCCCAATTCGGACTTTTTGGCTGTGTTTGCGCAAACTGGGAAACTGGGAGAACGTGGGAAAGTTCCAAACACAGCCAAAAACAAAAACTGGGAAACTGGGAAAAAAACCCAGTTTTAACTTTGTATCCCGTAAATGTATTGCGTAGTCACTTAGTTATGGTTTTTGATCCGACGCGTCGGGGGAGTCGGCGCGTCGGTAGGGGGCATTCCGGACAATGTCGGATAGGAAATACATTTTTTCTAACGGATAATATCCGAAGCGTCTAGTAGACACAGGTGAAGAAATGAGACAGAATGTGCAAAAAAGATGAAAACAGCAAGATAAGACAAGAAAAGCCCTTTGAGGGTCACACATCATGCCAAATCTCATGATGGTGTTTTGTGGTATGCATCAATGCAAACAGTATCTCTTGGTCAATTCTTCAGCTGGTACCCGGTCATACCAAGTCTTGAGTGTTGAAAATGAAAAGGTATCAGTGATGGGTAGTGAGTTAAGAAGACAAGAATGATAAGACACTTGCCAATAGATGTCCATCTGCCAGTTGCCTTTTTGAAAATACTTCCAAATCCTTGACACTGGACACCACTTGTGAACGTCCTCAGAAAGAGCTTTTGAGTCCAGGAAGGATTTGCATTTGAAGCTGTTGCTTTGATAGTCCAAGTACAAATCAACAAAACTGAGATCAAGTGAGTCAAAAGCGGCGATAAGATGCAAAAAAACCTCTACCAAAATATCCTACTTGGGTATTACTGGAGGGTTGAAAATTTGGGTCTCGGTGACTAGGCTGGATTAACTGTACACAGGGCCAGGAAGCGCCAAGAGTCCGGCCCTGAGCACTCAGGTCCGGGCCACAGCCCCACTTGATGTAACATGGTGTGCACTGTGAGGTCACCGATCATTAGTTTCAAGAATTTTCAAATTCTCGATCAACTTCAACTCAACTTCATTCTCAACTTCATTCTCAACAAACTCTCAACAACAACAACAACAACAAGTATCAAGAACTCATCATGCCTGTTCTCAACTCATCATCAACTCATCAAAATCAAAATGAAAAATCTAATCCTAATCCTCAAATCCCATCTTCACTTAATCTTCCAAATGATCCAAATCAATCTCATTCTAATAATTTAGATGGTCCATCAAATAGAGTAGATTTAATCAATTCTGAACACGGTAGGATACTTTGTATTGCAGACATTAGAGGTAGAATCTCTCAAATTAATCAATTGGCAAAAGAATTCAATGCGATTGCTGTCATTCATTCTGGTGACTTTGGATTCTATGGTACGTTTCATCTCTTATCTTCAACTTTTCAATCATTAATAAGATTCCTTTACTTATCCTTTTGATTTCTATTGTTATTGGATTTTCATTAGAATCTACTTCACTGGAACGTATTTCTGATCGAACACTTCGTCACTTGATTCAATATTCATCTCTTATCACGCCTCAATTCCGATCACAATTACTTGCACCCAACATGAACGTTCATTCGATTAGACAAATGATCCTTACACCACCCAATCCATCCATTAATATTCCAATTGGAGAATCTTCTGATGGAGCTCCACCTGCTTTTCCATTATCTGAATTCCCTGATCTTTTATCTGGAAAACTTAAGCTGAATGTACCGGTTTATACAGTTTGGGGTGCTTGTGAAGATGTAGCGATTTTAGAAAAGATTCGTGCTGCTGGTCCTTCTCCCCTCAAGGTTCCCAATTCCAATGCAAAGACACTTGATCCCAAGACTTCACTTTCACCTTATTCGATTCCCAACTTAACTGTTCTAGATGAAGCTACTACACGTTGTTTAGTCATCGGCGGTGTTCGTCTTCGACTCTTTGGGCTGGGTGGTGCTATTGTTCCTCATAAGTTATTTGATAATGGGGAAGGTGGTGCGACGATAGCAGGGGGTCAAGGTACGATGTGGACAAGTGTGTTACAGATTGGTGAAGTCGTAGATACTGCTCAAAGGGTTTACGATCCAACCGAAACAAGATTACTCATCTCACATGCTAGTCCGGGTCGAGAAGGTTTATTGGCTCAATTAGCTCTTGTTTTAAAAGCTGATCTTTCAATTTCTGCTGGTTTACATTTTCGGTAAGAGTCCATCTTGGTCTCTTCATACTTATCTTGATCATTCTTCAACTGACGATTCTCACGCGAATTAAATTAGATACGGTGTCAGTTATAATGAATTCAGCGTTCAACACGATCAGGAAGCTTTCCGTGGTAAGCTACATCATGCGAAATCAACTTTTACTGAAATCTGGGACACCGTCAAAGGTCAAGTAGAAGCTGTTATCGAGTATGTCTTACATTTCTTATCTTGATTTCTTGCGTAGAGTAAGTGTATCATTGTACTTACGCCAGCAAAACTCCAGTGAACATCAACGCCAGTTACTCTCCAATGCTCTTGCTGTAGCAAATCGTGTTCCAGCTCCTACACCACTAGGTGGTGGTGCTCCCACAGAGGAACCAGCATGGAAGAACTCTTGGAATTGGAACTTACCTGATGCTGCCTTTGGTAGTTTGATCCTGGACATCAAGGAAGGTCGGATTGGAGCCGAGATGAGAAGTCAAGGTGATTTGTAGCTTCGTGATGACATTTTCGGTTGTTTTGATAGTGTCTGATTCTTGGTTCTTTGCGCTAGGTTTTAACTTTGCATATCGTGCTGCTTCACAGCAAAAACCACCCAGCACATCAACAACAGGACCGAATAGTAGTGTTCCAGCTACCAATCCTCCTTCAGCGCTCTCCAATCCACATTCTCAAAGCACTCAATCTCCAGTTACTCATCTTCCAAACCAAACTCATTCTCGTAAACCAGGCTCCGAAGGTCAAAACCACAACACACGTAATCCATCTCCAGGTGTGAAAGCAGAAACTAGTCAAGAGAATAATGGACCAGCTTCAACTAGTCATAGTCATCATTCTAGTGTCACTGGAGGTCCGAAGTCACATCTCACGCAAGGTTCAGCATCTAGTTCGAATGCAGCTTCATCAGGACCTAGAAACAACTCATCCCAACCAATTCATCGATCATTAAAGTCACGCGATGATCCTTCTATCACTCATTCATCACGTCCTTCTTTAACCTCATCAGCCGGTGGGGCCAACACTTCCAAACCTGAAACCCACGATACTAAGAATGAAACAATTAGGAACGCGAGTAATCCTACTAACAATTCAACTACAACTAACGGAGTATCTCCCAAACCTGTCTCGCAAGCTACTACACCCAACCAACCAAAAATAAACACTTCAAATGAGTCAAAAGAAATTGACACTTCAGATCGAGCTCCATCAGGTAACTCTACACCTTCTGGAATTTCACCTGTGGCTTCTCGTAAATCATCATTTCCTAATAGTCGAAAAAAGAAAGGATCATTACCTACAAGTGGAGCTACTAGTGTGAAGAGTGATACAGATCGTAGTGTTCCTGATAAAAATGATAATGATGGACCTACTTCGGGTGGAACGAATGATAAGACTAGCCATAATGACAGTAAACCGAAAGGAGACACAAGCACGGAAGCGAATAATGAGAAATCATCTAAACCGACTAATAACCATCACCAAAATGAACCAAGACAAAATCCAACTCAGAACAACAACAATGGTGGTGAGAGCAGTGGGAATCAAGGAAATTATAAACCAAATTATCCAACAGGTTCTATGAGAGGTAGAGGAGGACCTAATCAAAGAAATGGTAGAGGAGGAGGACGTGGAGGAAGAGGTGGAAGGGGTGGATTTGATGGACCACCTAGACCATCTGGTCCTGGATTAGTTGGACCTGCGTTAGCAGGAGCAGGAGTAAGTTTTTCTGATCTTCATTCCATTGAAATATAAAATATTGACGAATTTGATGAATATTATAGATTGGTAGTAATAATCGAAGTGCTAGTAATAGTAATCAACCAAGTGGACAATAAAATCTAGATCAAAGTAAACCAAAGTGTTTTTTTTCTTTTGGGAGTAGATTCAAATATAAAAGGAATTAATAGATTACTTTAGATTTCATTAACTATCTCTTTGAATTTAAATTTGTTTTGATTTGATTTTTTGATTTCTTTAAACAACACCAAAAAAAACTTTCTTTTCGAGAAAAAAAATTAAATCAGATTGTTGCATTTAAATGTTTAATTTCTTCATTTTGTTTGGTGATCTTTTGATGGTATGAAGATGTTGAAGTTGAAGACCATTAACATAAGATCAATTCATCATACTTTACTTTCATTTTAGACTCTTGCTTATTTAATCAGAGGAGATGAGCTTTTTTTATGTTTCTTGCTACAATGAGGCAATTTCATTTCTTTTTCTTTTCAGATGGTCACTTTTGTTTTTCATCATGAGCTTTGTTTGATTAAACGTTGGGTTTTGAATTAGAATGAGTGGTTGACATCTCGAGATCTACATGGGTTGTCAACAATTGCGTAATGTTTTTTGCTTGTGCGTTCTGGTATGATTATAGGGGCTCATAGATGCTGATCGGGTGGTAAACAAAGATGTATGAATCAAAATAAGTAAAGTATACTTGAGATAGACTTGATGAGAGTAGAATGAATAAGTCAAAGAAATGATTTTGAATAAAAAGAACTCAAGGAAAGGAAATCAAGGATCAATCAAAGAAAATGAATAGTAAGTTGAGAATTGAGTTGTTTACCTTGCTGTGTACTTGATCAAAATTTCAGAAATTATCACTTTACACCAAAGAGCTTCAGTAGATGAACTCTAAAAACTTATTAAGATCATCAATCAGACTACGTACACAGCAGTGTCATATTGCCCATATTTCAGTTCATCAATAAGCCATGAGTTCCATTCCAAATCAACTCAATCAGAACTCATCAAACCACAATAAGCTCATCAAAAGAAATCATTTTGAAATCAGAGCAAACATCTTGGATCCAGGATAGTCATCAAAAACTTCAAAACCATTTAAACCACACCAAAATCATAAATATAGTCATTTCTTGATCATCATCTCAAATACATAAACAAACAGGCATTTCATCTAACCAAATGCGAATAAAATCTCTTAAATAAAAATTAATGTAAAAAAAGGGAACCTCAAAGAGTAAATACTCTTTCCAATTCAAAAAAATAAATAAAAATAAAAAAGATAAAACAAAAAAACAAGCTACAAAGTGTGTGAGTGTGTGTGTTTTAATCTTGCAATTTACAAATCTAATATTATATAATGATTAAGTTCAAACCGTTTTTTTTTGTTCGACAAAAAAAAATTGAAGAAAAAACTATCATGAATTAAATCGTCAAGTGGAAAAACCAAAAAAAAAATCAAATTAATAATAAATAAATCATAAGCAAACAAAATAATGTACCATGCACGAGTAAACGAAGAGAAAAAAGAGAAAAGGGAAAGATTACGTTAGATCATACGTTACAACATAAGAGCATTGCAAAGATTAAAACGAAGGAAAACACAGAGTTTATCTAACAGAGAAAAGTCAAGAAAAGTTAAAAATGAATGGAATCCGATTCAAAATCATTTCACTTTCAAACATCACGAGTCATTCCAAGAATAGGAGCTTGAGTTCGATCTCTTTCTTGATCAGTATCATCCATATGATCAGTCGAACTCAAATCAATTAAATCAGTAATCGGATGATCAAGATGAGTTAAAGGATCCACCAAGATAGCTTGGACTGGATCTTTGACTATTTCTCTCTTATCATCTCTTGTACTTTCAATATCCTCTGTTTACCAAAATCAAAAACCACAACTTAGAGTCAATAAAGGTGACCAAAGAGGGAGAAGGAAGAAAGAAACGTACCGATGAAACGATGAAAACATAATTCAACTGCATCTGCATGCCAGAAATGATCACAATGTTCTCCTTCATCCAACTTGTAATCTCGAATCAACCTAACACTCTTCTCGTTAGTTTTCAATCGATCAAGTAAAGGTTGAGCCAAAACCAAGAAATCTTGACCACCGCTGTTTACCAAACCAAACCAAAATTAAGTTGATCAGTAAAAGATCAGATAAAGAGGAATTTGATGAGAGAAAGAGGTACGAAACTGGTAAAGAGCCAAAGGAGGGAATCGATCATCCCACCACCTTTCTACTTCTGGATCCAGAACACAACCACGAGTTGAAAACCCTTGATAACCAGTCCACCAAAAGATTCCAGCAGAGGAGACAGGACTAGGAGTGAATCTGAACATCTTTATCTTTCTTCTCAGTAACTAAAAAACCAAATCAAGTAAGTCAATCAAAGATCAAATTTAAACAGAGAAAGACAGAAAGAACTGCTTACCCAATTAGCATCAGTCCAATTAAACAGATAAGCAAACATTTGATAACCAAAGAAACCAAAAAGATGACCAGGTAAATAATCCACAGCTAATCTCATGATCGGCATAAAATCCAAAACCCCAAAGACTCTTCTCCAAGTTCTCCATCTCATGGATTTTAACAATCCAAATGGAAATCCATTGGTCAATGGACCAGCATAAACGGCTGGGGCCATTGCAATAAAACATGAAAGTTTCGTCGATAGGGAGGGGACCATTCCTTGAGCTAATGAACAGAACATCGTCGCATTTCCTTGTGAGTGTCCCATGAAGGCTAGTTTCGGATGACCAGTTTCGGTCAAGACGTGGGCTACTAGGGCTGGTAGATCATAGAGTGCTAGTTCTTTGATATTGTAATCTGAAATCAAAAAAAGACACAAAAAAGGAGTTCGTTCAAGTTATGATTCAAATCTTAAAGCAGGGAAAGCTTACCCCAGAATCGTGGATCGTTTCTTTTGAGTCTACGATGTCCCATATCAAAGACTCCACGATTATTACCCATATAAACTTGATAACCACTAAACGGATCAAAAGTCAAAAGTTAGAATCTCAGTCACTACACCAGCTCAAAGAAAGTTCCACAAAAGTCAAAGAAGAAAGACATACCCATGTTCAGCTAACCAAAAAGCAAGACTACGTTCTTCCGAAGTCACAAAACTACCTGAACTTTGAAACAGACCATGTTGGATCAAAACCGGATACCCACCTTTCCCATCGGGTAAATGTATCTCAGGACGATGTGGCACAATGACTTTCCAAACCTTTAGATAATATCCATCTAATGTTTCAACAGTTTGTTCTACAATCTTATAACCTGCACTTTCAGCATAATAATGAACATCTTTGGTCACTCTTTCATTCTTCCATTTCTGATAATCGTCCCATACTCTTGGTTTAAACTTTGGAGTTTTGTCAAAGAGAACAGCAGATAGACTATGAAATCCTCTGACCATCAAACCATAGGTAACAATAACCATTAAAAAACTATTCGAAACGATAGCAGAAACGGTTTGTAACATGAACAAACGGACTTGACGTCTGAATGTTTGTTCTGGTAATGGACCACCTCTTGGAGTAGAAGGAAAGGTCACACCAGCCGTCGAACCGAAATGAGAAGGAAGTAAATCATAAGGTGGAGGAGGAGTTGAATGAGGATTAGGCGTATTTGTTTTAGAATCGAATCCTAATGGATCAGGACCGAAACGTTCTTCATTGAGTTGTGCAGATGATTTAGCTCGACTTGGTAAATGAGGTCTTGATCTTGTTGGTTGATCTGTAAACCGATCATCATGAGGAGGATGTAATAAATCTTCTGATGGTCTAATCATCTTGTTCGACAAATCTTCGTCTTCTTCAAAACTTGATTTGATAGGAGTAATTAAACCTTCGTATGGAGAAGGACCTGATAAGTAATGTAAGGTACGTAAGACCGTAGGATGAGATTGAAGATCGGGATGAGATTGATGGAAATTAGTGATGATATTAGTTAGATTGTTGGGCGATGCTTGGGTGGTGGTTTGGTTGGTGTTCGAAGTGGAAGTAGAAGTAGAAGTGGAATCTGATAAAGTAGAATTAGATGGTGATTTGATTAAACGACGATGTAATAGATTATTTGGATTACTTGAACTAGAAGAAGAAGTCATCTTGGAATGTGATATCTCAAAAGTTTCTTTTAACGAATGAACAAGTTACAAAGACTGTTTGGATTTCTAATTTGTTAAGTTCTAAATTTTTTGATTTCTAATTTCTGATGAAGGGGAGAATCACTTTTCGATTCGAATGGCTTTATTAAGGTTTTCTAAATCAAGTAATCAAATTAAATTTTCAAACCTTCCTGCTCGCCTTTTCTTTTCTTTGCTTTTCTTTGGTTGGTGCTTTATTACAGTTTTCTTTCAGTCTAAATTCAAACAAACCATCTCATCATTTAAGCCATCTCTTTTTTTTTCCATTCTCAAGCCATCTCATTCGATATTAAGGAACAAATTGACACCGGTCCAAATGAAATTCCACGAAATGGGCCTTGGATTTGGAAACTTATTCGATCTTGGTTCACGCGAGGCGGTCGAGCTTCGTTAGCATCGTCCAATGAAGCTTGAAAGATGAAAATCAGGACCCTTGAAAGCTCCTGTTGAGGTTTGTATCGAGTATCCCGTCGTAAAGTGACGTAAACAAAATCAATCCAAATCCCGACCGTTTTCGGCACAAACCACACCAAGATAAATAACCAGGGTACAGGCCCCGTGCGCACAATCACGGAGCCGGTGTACTGTGGGTGTTGAGAGAGGCTCTTGTGAGTGGGACAAATGGCTATCGATCTTCATAGGTCTTGAGGTGTAATATTTGATAAAAACTGTTTGGCAAGGACTACTCGCCAACTTTTTGCCCTAAGTTGACCCACAGTTCCAACATTTTCCAAAACAAACACGTGAGCAAAGATGGCAAACTCCAACTGCTTTGAGCACAAACACAGCTAAAATCCAAGGCCTAATGCCAACATTCTTTTGGCACAAACTCTAATACATAGAAGTTTTCCTGGGTCCCGAAAAACCACAAAGGCCAGAGGAACTGCAATGAAAGAAGAAGCGTTCTGTGGATGGCTCACAATGTGTTTGACAAGCCAGACCGGGTCTTTTTGTACAAAAAATTTTTCTGAGATGGTAAGAATTAAAACATTTTTTTCTGCAGCCACACACATGATAGCCTATACTGACTTTGTACACCGTTTTTTAAAAATGGGAACACACTGGTCAACAATTGAAATCACTTATAGATGTGGGAGGTGAATTATTTATCACTGAAATACCTTCTTTGAAAGAGAGAAACAAGGACACTGGAATGCTCCTACTGATGTGTCTGAAGAAAAACCCAACATTTATGTGGTTACAATTTTCTTTTTGGTCAAATCCCCCCAATTTTTGATCAGATGCCTTGAATCCTAAGCTGGTTTTTTTTATTTTCAAGTCAGAAATCTGACTTCCTCATTGAATGCCTCTAAGCCCTGTGTCCGGTGGAAAATCCTTGAGACCCAATGAAAAGCCCTGCAATTCTCTGTGGGTGACTGATGATCAGGTCACACCCATCCACTCACTACAACAAGTGTCAAACATTTTATGTTTGATATAAACCGCACAAAAATATATCTTGGGATCCAATTTCAAGATTAATTGAATGTAAGGATATTTCTAAATGAAATGAAAGGAATAAGAAAAATATTAAGATTAATCTTCATATTTGTGACCGGGTATTGGTCAATCGGCTTGCCAATCTTCAGTGTATTGATTGATCAAAATTTCCAGTTTGATTCATTGAAACATATCTCAAATACCTGATGGAAATGAATGGCATCAATTGTTGACTGTGTAAACTAACAAAATTTCAAGGTCAAGAAAGTGAACATACCTATAGAGTCTGGAGAAGGATGTGATGTGAAATTTTGAAAACTGTGTTTCCGAATCACAAGGTATAAATGTTGGATGATTGAAGTTTTGAATGAGTGCTAAGTATGCTTTTCAAATCATGATGATGCTAACTTAAGTAAGTCCCTCTCAGAGAAACAAGTAGTCAAGAGAGGGACTTATACCTTATTATATCACAATTTTGGTGTATGAGCCGGAAAACTTTGGCTGGGCACTTTTCCAATCCTCCGTATCTCTGTAGCCTGCATATAAATATCCTCTGCGCCTGATAATCCTACACACACACACACATCTTTTCAAATCCCTTCTCTGCACCCAGGAAAGCCCTTAAAAACAGACTTGAAGAATTGGTTTTTGTGTAATGTCTCAGCGTGTTTGGTGTGAACTTTTGACAGTTGGTCAGATTTTTGCACAACTTTAGTGTTTTTTGCAAACTTCACAAATGCATTGCTCCATGAGTTCTGCACTGCCAACATAGATGCCTCGGGTTGCGGAATCCGAGGCATCATCGGAGGTAAAACCTCGGACAAGGTCTGTCCAAGGTTTTTGTCCGAGGTAATCTTCTGCGCTGGGAATTGCCTCGGATCAAAACCTTGGACAGCTTCTGTCAGAGGTTGGTAATCCGATAATACCTCGGATTTTTCAATCCGAGGTAAATATGTTGGCGGTGCTGGATCAAATTATGAATACACTACATATACGTGTGTAGAGTAAGTGGGCACATAGCTCCTTTCTTTGGTCCCAAAGACATTGGTTTGCAGGATACACAGATATGGAGTGTTGAAAGAGTCCCCAGCCAAATTTTTCCGGCTCATGAACCCAAATTGTTGTATAAGGTATAAGTCCCTCTCTCAACTACTTGTTTGTGCAAGAGGGACTTAGTTAAGTGAGATGATGGTGGTATATTTAACTAGAGTATGTACTACAACTAGTACAATGTTGTACTGTGTAAGCACAGATCTTGAAAATCTGGATCCCAAAACCCTACTTAGATGCATGCAGCAATACTCTTGGATTCCCAACATTTTTCATTGGAAGCTGTTTTGCCAAAAATCTCCAAGAAAAAACCCTAAACCCAACCATCTCTATCAGAAATAACTGAAATTTGGAAGCCCACAAAAACCTGACTTGTTCCATCAGGCAGGCTAGTAGGAGGTTTCCAAGTTCCTGGGAAAAAGTTTTCAGGATAATGATATGGACAAGATAGAGACATTTTATTTGCTTGCTTTTGAAGAAGAATAATGTTATGAGCAACACACAAACACGACTCTGTGTGTTGCAATACGAACCCTAGGAAAAGCATGCTGGGATCTGCCACTGTGTCATATCAACACCATTGCAGTGTTGTGATGAGCAGTTTTTGTGGTAAATCAGTCTCCTCAAATATATATGCAGCAACCAAATTAGGGCAGTACAAACAACATTGTGGCATTAACTGTCACACAAGTTAATAGCACTATAATTGTGCTAGTTTTTTACCTTACAGGGTTCAAATGAATCTAAAGATTCAAGACAAATTATCCTTTCAGATGTGTCTATTTCATTATATGTTCCTTGCTTTTTTTGTTGGTGTCAAAGAATTATAGGCAAGAGACAAGTTATTTCCCTCAGACCATGTGTACAAGGAATTAAACCAAGGCTTTTTCTGCCCCCAGAAATTGTCTTGGATCAAATACTCAGATGCCGCGTCCAAGTCTATTGCCTTCTCAGGATACCTCAGATTTTCCAATCCGTGGCATCTTTGTTGGCAGTGCATGTGTAGGATGAACAATGTATAATTCATCTTTGTTCTAGACTTCTTAGTGGTATCCTACCACATTTTTATAGAATACCAATCCTACACATTATGGGACCCGCATCTTAAATGATTGCGGTTTGTGGGTGGTCCCAAAGGTAAGCAAATATAGAGAGGATAGGTCCTACCAACCTCTCTTTCCTTACCCTTGGGACGAGAAAACCCCCTGAAAAGAAGAGGACTTCTCAACCCGGGTGGTTGGCGGGCTTTTTAAAGCTATGAGATCCAGAATAGGGGATTTGTAGGATCTTCAGAGTGCGGACTACTAAGAGAGACCAGAGTGGTGATATGGAGAGGAAGGAAATTATCATTATGTACCTCTCTCCATCACTCTGTACATTTACTCGGAAGCCCTGTGACACTTGAGTACTAGCTGTCACAGTCATCCCCTTTACGGAAAATGGAATTTTGTGTATTTACCTCCACAGGCTCTAGGAACAAGGGCAATTTTCCTGTCATCTGAAACAAAAGGTATGCAGGGACTTTGTACATTTTCAAGGCTGTGGACCTTTCTGGCATCACAACTTGGGTATGAATGGTACAAACGGCGCTTCGTCGTAGGCTCTCATCCAAGGCGCATCCTTATGAGTGACAAGCAACTATCTATTTCATTTTCACATTTGTATTGATCCAGCAATGTCATAAATACAAATCAAATCAAGAGAAAGGAAAGCGACGGCAAAGTGGGCAGGAAATGTGAAGGGTACACCGTGCCATCTTTGTTAGGCATTTCTCATGGAACCAATGAGACTGGTGACACGTAAGTTGAAGGTACCGCTCACCGGTTATGAACGCCTCATAACAAATTGGACACTCCCTCTGTTCCTCTTCGCCTGAGTCTGGCTTAGATTCAACTATATGTGAACATTCAGTCATCAGACGTACGAAGGTGTAGAGAGCCCACCATTCTGTTGACCCAGCAGGCGGAAGATAATGAATTATAGATAGTTCTAGATGAAAGGTTTCGGATAGCGTGTTAAGACGATCGAGAACTAAGCCGTTGTTGTTGATCAAGCTATGCCATAAGGAAATGTAGTTCTTTTCCCAATCATCGTGTTTCTCAATATCTAACATCATTGCCTCTGCCGCGCACAGGTTGAGGATAGAGGCAGGTAAGAGGCGGGCTTGAAGGCCTGGGGGTGTGGGTATCTGGTCCATTTGGCTTTGGAGGCTTTGTATGAGATGTAAAAGTTTTGAGTAAGTCACGCTAGGTTTCGGTGATTGCGACATCTTGAGCAGTAGATAGGGCGAGTGTGTATACGATGCGTTGAAGACTGGTTTTTCTGGAGGATCTTGAAGAATGAATTTTAGAGTAAGGATGAAGTCTTGTGTACTACTTCTCCTGGCTTTATATGATAACCAATCAGCACTCGATGGATGTCTCAGCAGTTCATCCTTCTTCCATGCTGGCAGCCATTTTTAAAAGTCCATATGTGGAAATTGATAACTTTTTATCTTCCTTTGATCTTCAAAAGCTACGGCTTTGAGTCTTCTCAGGCTTCACCGCTCTTTGCTCGAGAAGGCTTCAGGCTCAGCAAATTACTGATCCAACGAAAAGCGTTTGCGTGTCTTAGATGCTGATTCTGACAAAGTCTACAAACAATGTTGCAACTGCTCATCTCAAATGTTTAATGTTTGGGAAACTACTCGGTACATAAAACAAAAAATATCTTTTACCAACGGCAAATAACAAAGGGGTGTCCTAGATTCGTATGTATTAGATCTCCTGAATGGATTCTGAATCAAGGTAAGAGGAATTCATCACGAGGATTGAAAGTCAATCAGCGTGCTCAGTCGACTGTCCGCGGTTCCTTCACATAGTCCGAGACATTGAGATGATAATGCTTCAGCCACTCTTCACTTGTTTATGTCTGATCCTCAGTCTCAATCAGCGAGGGGAGCAACATGTAGAAATTTATGTTAGGTGTAAGAAACCTTGATTGACAGCTTATTGGGTCAAGGCACAAGGGCTGAAATCCCTTAAATATTCTTGAACACACATTTGTCGACTTACTCTTGGGAATCTATGGAGTGCCTATGCATGGCGCTGTTGCTTCGCCACCTGGGCTGCAAAAATCACGGGTGCCGTGCTATTTGCTGCCAATCTGAATCTATAGCCTGCACTTTTCATGAGTTACGCTATCCGCCGATGGGACCGGGTCACCAAACATACAGCTATGCCACACTTTCCCTTCAGCATATCACCAAACCATGGCATACCACTACAGTCATTCACAAAAAAACGGTGATTGATCTCACGGGACATAGAAAGACCCGTGATTCAAACAACCCTTTCTCCTGAGGTATAAAGGTAGGGATTTGCCAAATTTATTTCTAACTCTCATTGACTACAATACATCATAGTCTTCAACCAGAGTCTGTCCTCTAAATGGGTGAGGAAACTCACAAATAAAGCCAATGAAACTTCAACTGCTTCTCACCCGAGCTCTTCACATAAGAGGTCACCCCCACAGCTGAAATTACAACTACTCACCCACTGACCGGTGCTGAGGTGATGGATACATCGTCAGCTCGATAGAATGAGCAAGAGGATTTGTTGAACACGAGTATGAAACCATCATCGCAGATTGAAGAAACTGAGAGAAGCGGTTCTTGAAGCGCTGGAACAAGTAGAGTACGGTGATGGTGATCATTTCCATTCATAGGTAAGACAGTTGTTCCAGAGTGAGTAGCTTTAATAGATGATGAGTCGGCTAATTGGATGACTTTCTTCGAGTTTTCAAGACCGGTGATAGATGATTCATGTGGCGTCATTGAAAGCGAACAACCTGAGTCAATATTCCAATCGGACACGTTCACAGCTTTGGCGGAGACAACTTTAGCGGATTTGACTTGAACGAAGTTTTCTTCGTTGACTGATTCTTCTTCATCATCGCTAAAGTCGAGAGTAAGCACCGAAGTCTTACCAGCTTTGGTAGTGAAACGAGAGGAGTTGTTTGACGCTCGAGATGATACACCCCTTCGAGAAGAAGTGGAGGACGGTCGACCTTCATCCGTTTCTTTTATCCAACAGTTCGCAACCTCTACACCTATCGTTGGGGCCAAGGAGCGGTCTCGTGGAAGTCTCGCAAGCAATCGACGGTCTCTCTCTCAAGTACAGAGGCCGAATATAAAGCGCTATCAGATTCAAGTCGTGAGGGTATCTGGCTAAAGAACCTATTGTCTGAACTCCACATCAATGCGCCGTCAGCTATCCCTCTTCATGGGACAA